GGGGGGGGGGGGGGGGGGGGGGGGGGGGGGTGGATGGCCTTGGAGGGCTCTTCCAACCCGAATGATTCTGTGATTCTCAGAATGGCAGGTGTTTAAATTAGATGTATTGAGCCAAGTTTAACCAAGAGATGCAATCGTTAAGTAAGCAGGAGCGGGGCTGAATGGGAAAGGATGAGTTGAGCTGACTGGGTCAGTCCCAGGCAGTTCCAATCACGGTGTGGGAGCAGCTGCCTTTACTGGGAAGCTGAGGGCAAGCAGCTGAATGCTATCAGTGATGTTTGCCCCTCTGCTATCAACAAGGTGCTTATTATTGGCGTTATCTGTGCGCTTAGCACTAACAGCATCCAGGCTGGGCCAAGCGGATCTGTAAACAGGAGCCAGGAGGTTGGTGCCCAGTGGCTGTGTTTGTCCAAAGGCTTTCTGAGGAATGCTGCGTGCCTTGCGGCTCCCGGGCCAGCACACACCCTTCCTCCTTTCCCTCTACTGATAACTGTGACAGTGACGTCTCCTGCAGGGCTGGTGGGTGAGCACCCATTGGGGTCACCATCAGGGCTGGGCAGGTTGAGCCCATGAGGCTCTGTGCTGGTGATGCTCAGCACTGCATTTTCCTCGCTGGTCGTGTGGATCTTCCCCTGGAATTCGGGTGCTCCTGGTGGGAGATTCAGCACGGCAGCACCCCTGCAGAGTGCTGTCCTAGCCCAGCCCTGGCCCTGCTGTGCTCCTGCTGCAGGGCTGAGCCCCACTGTGTGCTGCAGCCCCATCCTCACCCCCTCCCCTGGGACTTCTGCCCGCATCCACCTCCAGCTCAATACAGACAGCAATGATTAACTTGGATTCCTCCCCTGTCTCTGACACGCCTCAGAGCAAATCACCCCGATAAAAGACTTCTTTTTCCCCTAATAAAACAAAACTCGCCCTCAAATAACAGATGATTAAGAAGCAGAGGAGGGGATGGAAAGCTGTGGCAGCACTGGGATGATGACTCAGGTCGTTGCCCGTGACCTTTCCTGTGCCCTTCCCTGCTCTTTTTGGAGCAGCGCTTTCTGATTTCCTGCTCTTTGCTGCCTGTCTCCACGCAGGCCCACACTGACCCCGGGCTGCTGGATTTGTGTTGGTGGGTTCAGCCTTTGAAGCCCTTTGCTTTCCTGCAGCTCTTCATTTTTTTGCCACTTAAGCAGCTGCCCAGAGGAATGTCCTTCTCCCCATTCAGGTCCTCAGTGTCCCCACCTCCAGGAGTGGAAGAAGGAGCCTACAGCAGTGCTTCCTGCAGGCATCTGTCGCAGGGACACACGAACAAAGGACAGAGCAGCTCTCCCCTGATGGCATCCCTGCGTTTCCAGGTACTGCATCGGGCTGCCTTCCAGAGACAGACACTGCTGTGCCCAGGAGCTGCAGTGTGGGATGGAACAGTTTGCAGCACTCTCAGGGTTTTATTTATCCCAGTGGGATGTCCTGTGGTTGGGTGCTGTGGCTCCTGCTGCCCTGTCACCTTGCACCTATTGGGTTGGTCTTTTGAGGTCCCTTCTAACACAAGCTGTTCTGTGGCTCTGTGACTGGGGGCTGCAGTGGATCTCCCCCCTGCACCCATTCAGCCCCAGCAGTTACCGGTCTGTGCCCAGGCTGAGGAACCTGGGTGTGGTGGAGGAAACCCGTTGTGCCCCCAAGGAGCAGAGCTGTGCCTGTAGGTGGTATTTCCCCTGAGCGGTGTGGGGTAAAGCAGCGTAAGGGTGGACGTAAGGGTGACGTCTGTGCACCACGTGTCTCTCATTCCTGCCATAACCTGTGGCTCCTGCAGCCAAAATCGAGAGAGCTTTTGTTTTAGGAAAGGTAATGTTTCTGGGCAGAGATTTTATCCTTACCGGGTCAATGCTGAAACAAGAGCCAGTCCGTGGGGCCGGGAGGGGCAGTGGGGCAGCTCCCAGGCCCATGGAGGGGAGGACCCAGCTGAGGAGCTGCATCCAGGCAGTCCCTGGGCAGGGAAGTTGGGAAAACCACTCCGCTCAATGCCAGGTATCCCAATC